CCAAATCTCTCCACTCGTTAATGTAGATCCCATTTAACAATCAATCAGCACGGCTAACAGCGACTAACACACCAAACAATACCAAACATACACAAACTGGTTACTCCTTCATTGACTGTTCCATTCATGCTGAATTGCCTTCTGTGCTACGTGTGCTTGCTATTTGGTTAAACAACGTCAAACACGGTCTCCCAACCGACTCACCGGGCTCCTCGGTGACCCCATGCTTGGGCCCGAAAGGGGAAGGCGACAAGCGCCAGCCCTGAGAGAACGACACCGAAAACTAATTTTCTGAGAAAGAGATATAGCATGATATAGCTGAGTCATAGATGCTGAGTGATAGATTCGCATTGAGCCTTAGACCTAACTGAGTCGGATCTAAAAACCCTATATCATTCTGGTTCAGTTTGGTATAACTGGGACATCACTGGGATCTCTCAGAGATCAGTGTAGCAAAAAACAGAGTTGGAGTCTCGCAACCCGTTTCAGCCCGGATGAAAACATCCAACTGGCCAACATCCAAACTGTCCAACAAGAGAGTTGAGTTGGATTGGGGGCTTTGCTGCAGTCGTCTGACACTGGCTGCTTGCGACTGTCATCAAATTGGCAGTGATATAAGTGACATACAGTAAGATATAGATATAGTGCTTCAAATACCAATCCTCTTGATGATTCAAAGCGTTTGTAAACAGCCCCTGAACGCCAAATTTCACCGGCCCACCAGTTGCAACTCTTATGAGTGTGAACCGAGGGCATGTTGATGAACATGCAAGCTGATTGAAAACCATCACACACATCTTCTCCTTGAAAGGCAACCATTTGAAGTTCCGTAGCATGGAGGCACATGACAAGCTACAGTCTTCCATATCTATCAGAAGACATCAAACATTACTGCAAATCAGCAGGTTTCCGTGGCTTCTTTTTGCCTGCTAGATCTGCGCTTCAAGGATCTTCCATTGGTTCCTTCCAGCAAGGCCCAGCAAGCCTGGCCCCCTCTCCCAGTTGGCGGTCCGGCCTCAGCAAGGCCTAAAGCCTGGTGTCCCAAGCAAATCCCCAGCAGCGGTGTCTTCAGTGCTCCAGCTCGGTACAAGACCAGTGACCAGTGAGGCGCCGAGCGTGACCCGGAGGTTCAGAGAAAGCAACGGTGGTCTTTTGGAACGAGACAGTTAGAAGCTGTGCCAAAGTGGGGATCTTGAAAGGATCAAAAGGATTAAGATCAAAAGGGACTATATAAGCCATGGGATGGTGGGACTGAAGGCCTTGTTGGCTCAAGAAGTCTCGGACCTGAATGCACACCTCAAAACTTTTTTGTCATGTTGCTTGTTTTGCCCACTGAAATAGTGGCATTGACCTCAAGATCCTCCACAGATTCCAACGGCCGACCCTAGACAGTGAAAAGGGCCATCTGTCCTCGGCTCAAGAACGGAAGAATTACCTCTCTCCCCAATTGAAGAATGGCCTTTATTATAATCACACGTTGCAGAACCTCTCCAATGAGAGGGTGCAGAACCACAGAACTTCCAAGTTTCTGTGATCCACATTGGATTGTTTACTCTGTATCTTTCCCCAGGATGAACAATTTATTCAGAACAAGTGCTCTTGGGAGATACATTTGTTCAGGCTCGTGTTCAGAGCAAGCAGCATAGCCACCAAATTCATCGCCAAAACAACTTGGTTGAGAACAAAAGCAATCCCATAGACTTGAATAACATAAAATGAACAAACGAAAGACACAAAAAAACAAAAAAGTAAAATATAGTATATATAATACAATACTTGGTAATGATCTATAAACCGTATTAGTATTATGTACATTTACGTACAAGCATCTTATCTGTTGGAGCGAGGACGACACGCACATCGACGAGCACTGGGATGTCCAAGGAACTCAGGGCCAAATGAGCGAATGCCATGGTCAAAGGTGAGACTTCCTCGGTCAAACACTAACTACAACACCACGGTTTTAGAGGTGGCCATGATCGACACAGTTTTCTTTTTTTCCGGACATGCAAAAAGACCTTGACCTAACGTGATCCGCCCGGCACGTGCGTTTTCAGTGCGTCTTGTATATTTTTGATCGCGTTTTCTATAGCAGTCAGTGTTTTCCGTGCGTTTCCCATGGGCGTCTGCGTTTCCTGCGCGTTTCCTTTGCCAACTGCAAAGAGACATGTTTCACTTTCTGTGCCACTTTTTTATTCTTGTCTGGCATGTCAGACAAGAAAGAACCACGGACAACCGGGGTGCTTTTTAGAGCTGAAAAACACACAATGGACAATGGTGTCAATTGCCTGCTGCCAAGGGATACGTGTGAGAGAGAGAGAGTGAGAGAGAGAGAGAGAGAGAAAGAGAGCGAGAGAGAGAGGGAGGGAGAGAGAGAGAGAGAGAGAAAGATGCACTGTAGACCGAGAGAAGCCGGATTGCTTTTCTGTCCGAGAACAACCAGATTGCTTTCTTGGAGCTACAGGAAAAGCAAAATATGGTGTCCATTGCCTTCTGCTAAGGAAGATGTGTGAAAGAGAGAGAGAGAGAGAGAGGGAATGAGACACGGAGTGCAAACCGAGAGAAGCCAGATTGCTTTTTTGGAGCTACAGGAAAAGCAAAAAGGTGTCCATTGCCTTCTGCTAAGGAAGATGTGTGGGAGAGAGAGAGAGAGAGAGAGCTTGGCCAGATTGCTCTGTCAGAGCTGTTTTGGAAAAGCAGCAAACCAAGGAGTATGCGTTTGGAAGACAGAACGGGAGAGATAGACCGAGAGTAATCAGATATATTCAGATTGCTTTGTAGGGCTGTAAAAAAGCAATCTGGCGTCCATTGCCTTCTGTTAAGGAATATGTGCGTGGGAGAGAGAGAGAGAGAGAGAGAGATGAGAGAATCTTACATCCTCTTAGCGAGAAGTTCCTTTATGTTCCTTTATGTTTCATAAGCCACCAAAGTACCATTTTGGTCATTTGACATGGCCCAAACTTCCTTTGGAAAAAAAGTGTTTCCTCGATGTTGACCTGCGTTTTCAACGCTTGCATTTTGAGCGCATTTCCGGGTGTTTCCGATAGAGTGCGTTTCCTACCCGGCAGCGTTTTTCCACAGCTTAGTGAAGGATCTGGACCCATCTTTTCCATGCGGGTAGCTCAAAATATCTCCAAATCCAAACCAAAGGATTGTGTCAGGAACCAAGTTTAGGAGAATGGCAGTCATGATAACCTAGAGAACAAAGCAGCTTTCCTGCTTTCAACTCAAAGCAAATGAACAGTAACATCGGATTCCCGCTCCGCAAGGGACTTTATTTGTGGGGTGAGTTTGCTGCGGCCACAGCTGGGGACTCCCATGAAGCAGAACATCGTGCACACAGCACTGGTTGCTCAATCCTCCATCCCTAGCTGCAACAAGCCCCCAGTGAGAGTAGGGTCACAATATCTAAAATGTGAGAGACTCAAAGAGGTACTTTCAGGGTAGGATTGAGTGTCCAAACACCAAGCATGGAGAATTCAGGCCAAACGAATGAATCATCGATGGCAAACATGTCTGACATTCAGAACACTATCTAGATACCCTACAGTGAATCCCGAATGTATCGGAGGACGGTCTAAAGCCACCGAATCGTCAAGAACTTGAAGAACGGTATGGTAAGGCTTTAAACCAACCTTGCCGCTGGGATACACACACAAAGTACCTTCAGAAATCCAGTCCTGACTGAACCTCTGGCAGTCTTTCAACTCCCACCAGTCCCTCGCAACATTAAAATTCATGCGTTCCCCACATGAAGATTCTCACCAGCTGAAGATTCTGGATCTCCACATCAGAACACAGCCAAACATTGATAGAATTCCATGTATCGCTCTGAGGCTTCATTGCAACAAAACAGTGATAGTAGCCCACATCTCTCACCCAATTTGATTGCGGTGAATCGGCTCCCAAGTTGAACTCAAATCATTCACCCAGACTGGATGGCTCCCATCAAATACGGCCATCATGTTGGCCAACTTGTTGGATATGGTAGATTTGTAGGTCAAAACCCGGCATCCTGGTTCACCCCTGAAAATGAACAGATCCCTTTAGAACTCCCTTGATCAAGGGATGTCTGCCTTGCAAAGTTTGGTGGGGGAGGTTTTGACTCAGACTCACAGCCATGGGTTCACGTCGTCATGAACCACATCCCAGGGTCGGGTCGTCCCGGGCCAGGGCCAAGCACCACGTGGCTCGGGTTCGCGCGAAGCACCTGCAGTCTGTCGTCTAACAATTGTCAGGGGAACCGGGGAACCTGGAGCCTTTCGGTTTTTCAAATATGTAGCCATGGTACTTTGGGCCTCCTTATACATGTGCTTTGAGGTGTTCTATGTAGGTAATTACTGGAGGCGGTGTTTTTTGGGGGTTCGGAACAGTACACCTCCTGAGGAACGCCCTTCTAGCTGCTCCGGGATCGAGCGGAGAATCAGAAGCTTGAGGAACAACCACCTACAATCCACACAAACACGACACACGGGCAACTCCGTCTTCTGGTCTTTCCTCAGCATTCTCAGGGCACGCAACCTTTGGCGATCCCTGCTGGCTTTCGCTGCTTTGGCGTACTCTCGTTGACTTCCGGGCGTGGCATCGCTCTGAACAAGGTCTCGGACAAATGAAGAGGGCAGTGTAACTGTAGCCCCTGCAGTCTTAACTTGAAAGCTACAGCTAGACTGTTAGACACATTTCAGCGGACCAGCCCGGTGTGACTTACCACCAGCTTGCCCGTCTTGGGTGAAGCTGGCCCTGCACGGCCATTGCCACACAGGACAACCCGACTCGATCTGTGCAGATGCCGCTTTGGCTTTGCTGGAGTCAACGGTTTCGTTTGGTCCCGGATCAACGGTTTTTCGGACGGAAAACGGGACTCTCAGGTCTAGCCTTTCATAGGACTCCTCCAGCTCCGACTTGAAGAGTTTGGCCATCTCAGGCCTCTTTTCTATCTAGCTTTACACACAAGGAAGACCTGGAGTTCATACTGCCTGCATGCTGGGCGAGCTCATACTACCATTTCTCCAAGGGTATGTGGTGGAGTCCCTCCATTCTGAAAACACCTCTCACTTAAACTTGTCTTGAGAGCTCCATCAATCAAATTGCCCTCCTACTTGTGAAAGCTGGCCCTCTCAGCAGGCATCGCTTTTGGGCAGATCTCTACCATCGTGAAGGTCTGCTCGAAGCTCTCCCAATCCATCCAGAAAAGCCCATCAGCTTTCTCATCGACACCTTGGGCAAAGCTGGCAATCAAAGAGGATACAGTACTTGCTGGCCAAAAAGCTTCTTTGTTCAATGTCCAGCTTCACGTCAACTGGAGGCTGGAAGCTTGGAACGTGCCTCACAACCAAGAGAACTATATAAAAGGCGTGAATAAATCCTGAAATACATCGAACCAATAGAGCACGTCTGACCCTTTCAACAAGGTATTCATGCTGAGTTAATTGTGTCCTTCACAGTTTTGGGTATCCTTCTTCTACCTCTCGGATATCATATCCTTTTCGGTCTGTTTCTCTAACCTTCAGCCTGCCCTGGCGATCATCAGAAGCTTTTCCGCATTTCCAAGGACCTTCGCCCAGCCCAAGTTCTTGGTTGGTAAGCAACATTGAAGGATCCTTCTGAGTGCAGTTACGGTATTTTTTCTCAGGTGTCTGAGAAACATGACCCTGAATTCTCACATTGTCCTGAGATTTTGCAAACCAATCAATCCCTCATCTTGGTCCAACAAATGGTTGAGAACAAACCTATGCGCTTTTTTGAGCTACTGATGTACGAGTATCTCACCCCAACAAAGTGGCGCATCTTTCTTCCAACTCGGTAGAGCAAGTGCAGCCAAAAAGAGCTTGGACTAGAAGTGCAATGAAGTACATTCATGTCTCACGATGGAGAGAACCCCTTTGAACCCACCACAAAACGGGTGTCTGTCTTCTGTTGCCCTTCCCCTTGGCAATGGGGTCTCCCTCTTCCTCGACACACCCAAACCCGCTTGCGCCACCTTCCGACCAGGTAAGCCATGGGAAGTCCCAAGGGCTGGGAACTACCAATATCGACAGTCTGCACTAATTAAGTAGAACTTGTATGTCAATATGCTGTATGTCAACAGCTCTAAAGACTCCAAATACCGCTTGAAGTAGCTCAACCATGCTTAAGTCCCCTCTCAAAAGTCTTCCCAACTCATCCCTCCCCCTTCCCCCCATCTTCCTCGGCTGCTCGGCTCCCAGTCCAGCGGCCCAAGGCTTCAGCGATCTCCGGATGGGCGCTCCACTCGTCGCTCTGGTCACACCATGGGCCGTTCCACTCCATCTTGTTGCCCCAGGGGTTCCTGCATCCGGCCGAGTGGAGCTGCCCAGTTTTCGCAGCCAGGGAAGTACAGCTATCGGCTTTGTGAGGCCCAAGGGTCAAACCAGTCATTAGAGGCCCAACAATCATTGGAAACATGGTTTTGATGGGAGGTGAAGGGTGTTTGGGCGACAGACTTCACTGAATGGAGATGAAAACTGGCGGTGAACCGCGGCGAGCATTGTCATGGTCCTGATTTGTCATGTCCCGATTCAGAACGGCTAATCATCCTTCCAACATTTTGTCCGACCGGGTTGCGTTCTGTATTTGGGGACTCACTCCAAAGCTGGCACAACCACTGGCAAGTCCATTTCTTGAAGAACCACCAGAAGCGGAAATCGCAGGCTTATCCAAACAAGTTGGCATTGACAAGAGACTACAGTGACTACTGTGGATGGACTATTCCTCCAGAAGAGGACCTGCAGGTCCTCCGTTCAGCAATTCTTGCAGTCCAGCGGATGATGGTTGGTGCCACATTTGAATGATCCATCATTACTAATAATATCCCGGCATGGATCACCCGGCACATGGGGTTGTAACACTTGTTCAAGCATCTGAGCGAGAGAAATTGCAGTTGCTTCGGAACAGGCGACAACGCCCCAAACATATGAAGTAGGAATGACTCTTGCCCTCCTCAGTGTCCCAAACGCAAAAGTTCAGGTTGGTGTGGACGTCTTACTGCCCGGCTGCTGGAACTCAAGGACCCCTGTTTGAGACCCACAATATCAGGACTTTTGAGATCAAAGCAGGAGATGGCAGGAGTCAGGTTCTAAGCAGTTCTAGTCAAGTGCCATGGGGAAGAAATTCATGCACTGCAGGAGAACTTTGTAGAACTCTTGCCTAAGGAATCCTAAGGATATGAGCAATTGCCCAACTCTCTCAGGATCAGGATCAAGATCTAGGTTCTGATTCTGAGAGGATTGGTCAAGTGTAACATCTTCCCTTTTCAAATTCCGAATGCGCGATCCTCGATCCTTTCGCCATCCACCCTCGACTGGGTGGAGTTCACCCGAGTGGGCCACGACCTGGGGCCACGCGAACGCACCGTCGACGTTCGTCCGGGTCCTGCAACAAATCAACTGCACACCGTTGAGTTCCGCCGCATGGATGACGGAGTAAGCGTGAGCTTCCACCAAACCATCTTCGCGTCGGTGCTCACCTTGGAAAGATCACTGCTCCGAAGAAACACAAGCACTGCTCCAAGTGACTCAACAGACGTTGGACATATTTGGAAATCGTTATTCTCTGTGGCCTGTGGCCCTCTAAAGATAAACAGTGTTGCTCTGTGGCCGTTGGACATGTTGCTCTGAAAGGCGGAGACCTTATTTCAAAGGAACGGGGTATTCTTGGAGCAATCAAGAACGCAATGGAAGTCCCAAGTCGAACCCGCCCTTGCATTTCATTTCGTATATATATATATATACATACACAGTATATACACAGTTATATACATAACTCTACCCACTAGAGTCTTTAGGTCTCATACATACGTAAAACAAACACAATAGGCAAAACAATACCAAGAACTAAGGTGCTGTGGGATCCCTTTGAATGACACATCAAGCGAAAGGCGCAATTTCAAAGAGTTTACAAAGACTATACAAATGATCATGCCGGCGTCACGCTCATGCCTGTCCGTATGAATAGACGCTCCCATGAGGAAGTTGGCTCGGTCATATTCCTGCATCTTCTTCCACATGCCTTCACGATCTTTGCGATCCTGCACGCTCGAGGTACGTAGCGTACCAAAGCTGATCTTCTCTCGTGCATAGTTCACTTCCATCTGCTTCCACCTCGGATTGTCACACTCAAACGGTAACATACCGTAACGTCTCGAACCCCACTCGCCACAGTAGCATTGACGGGACTAAGCAAATGACCCCCGAAAATGCACTCTGTACCCTCTGTCTGCGCTTCTGGACATCCCGTTTGTTCTCACAAGAACAGTCAAATAGACGTCATGTCGAAACTATACATAGTTTTTGTTTTTTCAACGTAACATATTGTTGTACTTATTTGTACAATCATGCGAGATTTGAATATCGTTTAGTTCCAAATGCTGGGATCCACCATATTCTACCTTGGAGCTTATGATACACATCTTCTCTATTCTGGAAGTTGATTGAGTGGAGACATGTCAGCCAAGGCATGAAAAAGGTCATGAAAAAGGCTTTGGTAAACAACTTGCCTCTCTCCCAGTCCTCTCTCTCTCTCTCTCTTCTCTGATTGAAAAGAATTCAAGGTGTCGGTTTAAGTATACGTTCTCGGCTGCAGGTCCGGTGAAGAACCCAGTACCACTGTCCATCCCAGGTGCTCTGCGGGGCTCCGACACTTCGCCACCTGGTAGCCGCCGATGTAACAAGAGAGCCAGCCTGCATCGGTTCCGGGTTTGGAACCGAAGAATGGACAAGGAAGTGACAAGGTCGATACCTGGAAGGAAACTTGAGTTTATCGTCCAAGATCAACCAAGTTATATAAGCATCACTGGAGTCTGAGAACAACAAAGCCCCGCAAAGCCAGTTGAACTCCCTTCAAATCCCCCCATCACATCCATGAACAAACAAACCAATCCCTCCACCTGAGTGTGACGGGGCATAGGTCATCCACTCCCAACAACCGCCTTCCTCGCAATTGGCTGGCCCGGGGCACCGTGCAAAACCCCACGAAGGCCGGCACCCGGCTGGCCGGCCTTCCTCAGGGCCTTCGCCCTCCAACTTTTTGAAATGGATCCGATACCCGAACTTCTCCACCTCCTCAAAGACCGCGCCATAACCTTGGACGTGGTGGCAAGGACACAAACATCGTGTGGGGCAGCCCAAGACATAGCCGGATTGTTTTTCGAAGCATGCGTGATCATGTGTGTGTGTGTGTGGTGATCTCGTATGATCTAGCGATGAATCTGCAGGATGAATTCGGGTTGGAATCCTGGATGGAGTTTTTTTTACCCAGGAACACTGCAGAATTGATTGAAATGATGGCAAAACAATGGTTTCCTAAATGGGTAGGACAACAAGAGGATCATTTGATCAGCGCTTCCAAGCCCAGACTCTCAACAAATACTTCTCAACAAGCTCCCCTGAGAACTCCATCAGGCTTCCTTTTTCTCTACGATCCTCCAGTCCGGTCTCTGCTTGGGTGGAATATGGGCCACCCAAAAAAGCTCTGACAATATATTTTCCATGTTACAGCAAATATATGTAAATATCAGTAAATGACGTTCCTGCATGGTCCTCGCATATCTTAGTGATTTCGTGTGGGTGTCTCCTGATTGACGTGTCCCGACCAACTTCCCGACTTCTTCGATTTCCAGTGGCTCAGTCGCCCCAACTTCTCGCTCTGCAGGTCGCATCCCGCGCGGACTATGAGGCCCCGGGACCCCGTGACGTCCTCGGCGAGCGAGCTGTGTCGCCGCGGGAGTCGCTTCGCGAGGTCACAGGAAGAGCGAGCCATCGGGGCCCCGCGAATCATTCGGGTGAGATCCAAGACTCCCACTTGGGCTGGTGCCTCTGCCTCCACCAGCCAATCACATCCGTCTCGCCAGTCATGGCCATCCAGGCTAAGAAGGAAAAGCCCCCATTCAAGGCCTGGTAAGATCCCGCGAACTTTGCGAAGGCCTTCTCCATCAAAACCTGCATCATCTCCACACGGAGCTGGCGTGGGAGGGGGACCGACAAGCTGGACAGTCGCATTCAAAGGATGCAAAGGCTTAGGGCTTAGAACCTGACAAAGGGCTCGCAAAGGCTCTATCCTTCAATATCATCTGTAGATGGGGCTGTGTATTATCCAGTCAAGTTACTCGAAACATGTCCAAACCCAATCTTTGGGGCATCTTCTGGTGACATACCCTCTGAACAATACCTGGGCATCTGCCAAATCCGGGCAAATCCACATTCAGCGTCTTTCATTAAACCAAGGCAAATCTTGCTATTGCAGTAAGTCTATACGTCTCCACCACCAAACCTATCGTATTGCCCTTGTGTCTCTTCCCCCTCGTCTTCTGCTAACATGCCCTTTTATTTCATCCAATTTTGATTTAGATGTGTTGTCTGGAATTGGCATAGCATCCATGAATGATCTTGGAACATTTGGTCTTGGTCTAAGAACTGCAACCACCCCTCTGCACCTTCACTCTTTCACAGGTGAGCAATCCTCATTCCATACTCACTCCAGCTAGGCTCGGAGAATTGACTTCCAAACCACCTGAAACCTTGATTGCACATTCTAATTGTGCTTTCTTTTATTGCCGATTACTATAGTACACAACAGGCCACGCTATAAACCATGGATGGTCCCTGACCGTGAGGATCAAGCGTCCCTTCAAAGCAATCTCTTGGGGATTACCAAACAAAAGTTTCTCTCAAAAGCAAATACTGATCGCTATGAAGACGGATCACCCTACCTCTCTCTCTCTATGTGTATATATATATTTTATATATACTGTACACATAAAATGCTGATGTTAGCTCACCTGGACCGAACGAATTGCACCTTGCCTGCACTGGCTTTGACCCTCTCGTCATGCAACGCGTTCATGTCAGCTTGGTGCCACCAAGCTGCCACATAGAGCTGCTCATTGCACACCTCCGAAAAGATCGTCGAAGCTACGGGCTCGTACCACTTCCGCGGCTTGCAAGGGATGTAGTCATCGATCTCAATCACAGTCCATTTCCTGAAATCGCAAGGATGGCCTTACAAACCTTGAGCATAACCTTTCAGCGGTCCTAAGGGAAGCTGCGACCTAGGAGTAGGTCGCAGTCAGCCCGTTTACGGCATTACTTGTTCTTTTGCAATCCACACTACAGATTAACCTTCATTCGATTCAGGTGGTGGCAGATGGAGATGTACGATGGAGAAATCAACACCAGCACCGGCACCTTTCTAGATGCCAATTTTTGATCGCCGATTTTTGATCCCTGACCATCCGCAAACTGTGTTGTCATCCATCTTGAATCCAACCTAGCGCTTTGAAATGATGAGTGTTCCTTCACTTTCAAGGACAGAATCATAGATGAATGGACCATTGATGTGAAATGATAGGAACATATAGGAACAAAGAATGCACCGAAAGACTTCAATGGGCACGGGTCACACGTCCACTAATGAGCAAGACTCCTGACTCCTGGCGGGCTAAAACAAGACCTCACTTTTTCCATGATTGTAATTGCAGGACAATGAGACCAGGGTTTTGACATTGCGGATGTCTACTACTTTTGTCCTTCCCCGTGGTGACAAGGCCGCTTCGGGGTCCATCAGTTGCGGCCCCACTATATGACTTGCAGTGAATCCTGGACATGCTCAATGAGGCGCCGCTGTTCCCTGGGTCCGACTCAATGCCATCCGCGAACTTCGATTTCTCCCCTGAACAATGAGAGAGTGAGCGGCTTTTTAATCCAATCATAGAGCCGAATCCGATACTTGCCATCCTCATTGATCTCCTTCGATGAAGTGAAACATGAGCAGAATCTTTCAGCGGTTCTTTTTTGAGCGGGATTCTTTTGTCGAAGGTTCCTCCAGGAAAAGAAAAAGAAGAGGAAAGGTACAAAACAGGAAAGAAACAAGAACTGGTGCAGGGTCATGATTAAAATCAGCTTTCGTGGCAGGCAAAGCATTGGCTGATTGGAGATGTATTTTGCAAACTTGGCGTGGGAGCGGGGTTAGGTAGGACATGGTAGGACAGAGATACCGACACATTCACGTTTGTAGAAACCACTGGAAACCATCGACGCCAACTCCTGGAGAGTGTTTTGATCTATTGACTCTCTTCAAACTAGTGTAATAGTAGTTGTATTATATATATAACAGTAGCTACATGTATGTGTATAATATATATATATGTACAATGTATATGTGATTATACCAAACCATTGCATGCACAGGGTATATTTATATATATTATAGTAAAAATTCCAATATGGGCATTGGCTTTTCCCACAGGTATTGCGACATCCTCTTCTAAAACATGCCATCGTCTTTCCTTTGCTCAAGCACGGTTAAGACAGTATCTAGACTTACTGCATATAGTCTTGTGCTGTGGTTCAAACATTCCATTCATCGGGTTTGGGGGTAGCTATCCGCCAAACTGATCGAAGCCCAGCCTTGGTCTCGAACAGATGGTCGCGGAAGAAGTTGGGGAACTCCGCCGCCCCAGCGATGGCAGCAATGAGCCAGCAATCTCCCAAAGCACCTGAACTGGACGCCGAACTACAAGCCATACCCGCCAGAGGCATGAACTTGACTTTGATGGCCGGGCAAGAAGAACACCGTTGAGTGATACCCAAAAAGGCGCTTTCGAAGAAGGAAGGCAAATGTATTGACAAACTATCCTCACAAATTGCTTATTTACCACAACCTGACATACTGCACGTCATATGAGCTGGCATGTGAGCTGACATAATATCTTCTGTCCTGACAGCTTTTCTGGAATATATTCTATTCTGATGTACATTCTGAGATCTATCCTGACATCTGTGTCCAGTAGTTAGACCTGGTGGCGTATGTTCTGACATTTGTCCCAGCATATTTTTTGTCGCTTGTTCGACATCTGTCCTGGCATAGTTCTGACATCTGTCCTGCTCGCTATATTGGTGCTGGCGCTGATGCTCCACGCCCACGTGTCAATTGTGTGCTCGCCATACCGGCACGAGGCCGGGCCCGCGAGCAGGCACACTTGGCATGATCATACACAGGAGTACAACATGAGCAGGACAAGGAGCAGGAGCACACATGGAGTACAGTAAAATCTAAGAGACCTGACCCTCACCTGACAGCTGGGGTGAAGACAGTCTTTATAGTGGTCCCCAAATAGATGGAACCATAAAATAGAAACGGTTTCCAAATACATTTTGAAAGAGATTCTACTTTTCTATCTATTTGATTCTATATATAATGGATTGCAGTCAGCTCGTGGAGCCCACCTTGGCACACATCCGCCGGCTCGATGTCGTCGAAGAGCGCCGGCTTCTCCGCCAGGTCGCGCGCGCGAACCCACTCGCACTGCCTGCTGTTGCCTTGCTTTGCCGGGACGACTCATGTTCTGAGAGCTTCAGAAACATGGACTCTGCATCAGAGCTAAAGTTACCCGCATCTCTACTATAATTCTATGGTGGGAGGCACAATCCGGCTCCTCTTCTGCCAGAGCTTTGTTGAAAGACTGCACCGCACCGCACTAACCGAGAAAATGGGAAGTATTGTATAGTACCGTGCGTGCGTGCCACACCAACCAGCGACATGACCGAGGCGCCAATGCTCTCCTGGGTGTGTGGGAAGGCATCGTCGATCCAGCCGCCCTGGCTGTAGTCGGCCTCCCGGCGTTTGGGGTCCACGCGGACCGCCGTGGTGCTGCCCTTCCAATCGGTGAGCTCCGGTGAGAAGACCTCAGTAGTCCTCAGATGACTTCGGGCATCGGCCAGGTGGGTAACCCAAACTTTTGCCGGTCATGGATGGTGTTACTGGCCGCAAAACAAACGTGTTTGGGTGGTTATACCATTATACCAAAAACCATAAATTAGACGGGCTATGGCTGGCTGGCATCAGCACATTGCTTCCACAGATTTGCGGAACTATTCCCCTTGTACTGCCTACTGGTTGGTTTGAGGCTTCCTAGAATTCCATAGAACTCCTACTAATCCAGCTATCAAAGCCTGGAAGTACACTTAGTTTCAAGCACTTCGGCCTCGCTGCGGTTAGCTTGGCGAACTGAGGTATCCCCTGGCTGCCCAGGCCCCAGAAAAACCCTAAAGCAGCTCCGTGCTCGCCGTGCTCTGGGAGTTTTTGGTGTGATGCAGACCTTCATGGTATGCAAAAGATCTGATTGAAGCACACCAGCTCTTGGCACAGGTCTAAGCGTCAACGAAGAAACCAATTTACCATGCCTCGTGCTGTACTGACTTGACACCTTCCACTCCCTGGCAGGGTTGAGGTCGTGAAACAGCTGCCAAAAGCTATACTGTATTTATATTTGTTCAAACACAGGTTATAGGTTTCGGTAGATGATTACGATCTGCGGCTTCTCAACAAGTTTTTCCCGAAACCAAGTACCCGGCCGGTGATTTTCGTTCACACCGTCCCGTTGAGCCTGGCACGGCCGTCGTAGAGCAACCAGGTGTTGCCCTCCTCGTTGTAGTAGGCAGGTCTATCGTAGTTGGTCTTCTCAGTCTTGACGTAGCCACCCGTGACGTTGCTCCTCAGCCGGCTTGTAAGAGACTGCACATGTAGCATCCGAGAATACCCTTTGTATCCTTTTGGAGGGCCGGTCCTACTTAGTTATCAGGTATCAAACGATACGCGTAAACCGATCAACAGCTCCAGCATTGCGACACTTTTGACTACCCATGACTACTCAAAAGTCCTCAGCTCAAAAGGCCCTCTTTCTTAGAGGACAATGGAGGATTGTTGGAGGGAGGATGTTTTCCATTGGGGCAACTGTTCAGTCAGAGTGTCTCCAAAGAACTTGAAACTTTCAAGCTCATTCCCTGACCCACTCCAAAACCTCAAAGCACTTTGACCAAACGCGCGAGCTACGTGTGCTGGCATTGTGATTCCTCTCTCCAAGATTCCATCGGGTCTTGATGTACACTGCTTCCGCTGCCTTGGCGCACTTCTGCTCATCTGACTCATCTGACGGCGCCAAGACCGCAGCCATCGAGGGCTCTTCGACCTCAAAAAGAACTCATACGTAGCGAATCGTAGCGGCTGTGCCAACCTCACTAATGTCTGATTAATGAATGGGTCCCCCCTCCCTGGGAGACCTCAAATAGTCTTAAACAGTGTTTTGTATTGGTAGAACTTTTCCTCTAGTATATCCATGTGCACGGGTGAAAACAGTTACAAGTATAGCCTTGTTTAGGGTGTATTTATAAATCTGTTTTGGGATTTGCTTAGCTTTATTCAGCGTATACTTACTAATCATATGTCGACTTAACTTGAGATGATCCCGATTTCAAAATGACATCATCATCATCTCATATCACCTCAGAAGAGATATTTTTCACTTGATTGTCCAGAAGTCTCACTGAGAGTAAAAAAACACTGGCCCAATGACCAGAGGCTGCGGTGTTTGTGCACCTGGTTTTGCCAGGTTCGGCCTCAAACAGTCAAGGGTGTCTATGGGAAGAAATCCGTCCAAGATTGAGAAAAAAACATGAAACAACACACGATTGGATGATTGGAAGTGGTGATACATACTTGAGTAGTCTGTTTGTTTTGCTTTTACATGCACTTTCAAGTGGTGCATGAAATTTCTTTCAACCCTTTTCAACAATTCCTTTTCGAAATCTCAAGAACGTGAGGGATGAGATGCAAGGGGTGAATAGACCAGGACCAAATTCGACAAAAACACCTAACTCTCTAGATGAAGCACGTCTTGTGATTGGAGATGCAACAACTGCAACAACAAATATCCTATCTGGTTGATGCTCACTGAATGTACAGATTCCTGCACTTCGATCTTTTCCTCTTGCAAACACCCTTACTCCTTTGCAATCTGGGTCTACACATGTCTACACATCCACTCTAGTTCGTCTGTAAAAATAGAGGGCAAGTCATGGAACCAAGAACTCAGAACTCGAAAAATCAAACTCAACCCTGCTCAACCGGAAAGCACTCAGCCTCTTCCTCAGGCCAAGCTGCAAACTTCCCACCGGTGTAGACATGCCACGCGAGCTCTTCACTCGCCAGGTGGGGCGCCCGCTTGGTGTACAACCGTGCGCTTGCTTTCCAGCTAGTCCTCACGAAGATCTGCCAACGCTGGTGCCTGAGCGTGGGAGGTGGGTAGATCTGCTGCCATGAAATATGGAGCTCTCTGAGCCCTGAACCAATCCCCAAACATTTCTTTGCAATGGGTTCCTTCATGTTCCTTCCTTTTCCCGTCATTTTGTGGGTCAGTGGCGACTCCTCCCAAGCATATCCAAGCACTGTCGGGGAAGGTTGGGCTTGTTGATGTACCCAAGATTCGAGAGAACTCCTAAGACCTCGATCCGATCCGTTCGACAAGTACTAGTAACCCAAACAAACTTCCATTTCAAGCTCCCGGAAAAGGAACCACTATTTTGGTGGTAGTTGCAAGCGGTTCCCCAGGTGTACTTGCAGTGTTTTTGTGGTTTATCCGCAGACTGCCTGGGGAGAGCGACGCGCCCAATATTTGATTGATGGTACAGGGGTTACTTTGTTATATATGTTGGTTGCGTTTTGTCAGATGAGTAAGGCACTTGTTTCTAATAGCAAACATTGTTACTACTAGTAAGGCACCTGTTACTACTAGCGTGGCACTTGTTCCTAGTAGCGTCCGGGTCCGCAGCACCAAGGGGGGCGAAGTTCGAAAGTTTGTTGCGTTTCATGTTTCAGCGTCGTGCAGGTTTTGGCTTAATGGATTCGGAAGCAGTTTTAGGTCTGTGTAGTGTGGTGTTGTTGCGGTTGGCGTTCGAATGCGATCAAAGTTTAACTCTTTTTGACTTTCCAACTCCTTTACAGCCGTTCTTTTTAGTGGATCCGTTGGTGTCAGATTCTTTGATCGAATTGGCGACCCGGGAATTGGACGATGTGAGTGCTTTTGTGTTGAAATGTTCTTTAGATGAAGATCGTCGGTGAAACCAAGCCAGTTCTTAAAACGGATCGCTCAGCTCACGAAGTCAACACATGGTGCGAATGGAGCAAGCGCTGAGTGGGAGTGACCAAGCGGTCTTTTTAGGCACCTTGTGTACACCAGGCGACCTGGGGAACCGCAACCTGGTAGTTCCTTGAAATCTTGGTTCAACTCCACCTTCGATGCAAGAGACTTTCGGTTGAAGAAGAGATATTTTCCCTTCTCAGCATTGTAAAACACGGGGCGACCACCGTAGAAGTCGTCCTGCGGAGGACGAAGGGGCGACAGTCATGCCACAGTCAATGAGCAGAAACAAATACAGTAGGACATCTTCAGGAACAACTCACTTAGAGTAGCGGCAATCTTTTAGGTGGAATTGCTGAACCAAATAGGTTCTTGTTGAATGCGACAGCAATGTATATATATATATTATATATGTATAATCAGTTTGCATACATTTGCACGTGGTATGCCGGAGCAGTGTTCCTGGACCCTCCAATTGGTCCAACACGCAAACTAATTGGGCGACAAAAAGGTGCCCAGAAATGGTCCAGAATCCAAAACCCATCCAAAACTCTGTTGGAGGTCCTAGATTAAACAAATTCTTCGCAACAATGTGGCCGAAGAACTAAAGAACTAAGACTACCTTCACTATCCTTCATTCTGGTCGGTTCACGGGGAGTTTCGACCTCCTGACTAACCACGGGTGGCCTTGCTCCATTGATGACATATCCTTGACGGACAAACTCATCAGTTCAATTGCATCAGTGAAGAAAAACTAAATTTCTGGGTGTAAAAACATTTCAACGTTAACGTTTATGACATCTTGTGAACACCCCCAACTTCAACGGAATCATCTTCGAATGAAGGTCCCTTGCCATGGTGCCCTGGTATGGTATGGTTTGATTCATGATAACCGCACCCACTCATTGGAGTCCTGCTGGATGTACTCACCATTGAGATCATCGCGTGAGCTCCCCTGGATGATGATGGATTGGAAGGTGTTGCCAAACTCTCCTCAGCTGGACGGTCCAAATCTGGGGGACAACCCCATTCGAGACATTCAACATCGAGGGGGAGACCAGCGTGCCAGCCGCGGCTGGCACAGGCCACGGCATTCCAGCCAAGCTGTGTGGTCTTCAGATGTCTTCGGCACATCATCTTTCATGGCCATGTCTCATCCATAGGTCCGACAGAATGCCCAAAGAGGAAAATGCATTCGCAACTCCAGCAAATGTGAGGATTGTGGAAAATGATCCGACGGTAAATTTATTTCCGTTGTCCTCCCATTCCCCCTTTCCGCAGTTATAGTATTTCTTGCGACTGTGATATGGAGATGATTCTAACACACCAATCATAAAATCTGATCGATCATGAAGATGCGAGGTCACACGACTCAATGAGCTTGGTCAGGTTTGTTTACTGCTTTGGCCCGACTGGACTAGTAGGGTCACATGGGCCAGGCAAACCGTCCGAGGCTCCGAACTGCCCGTCCTCTGCGAAGATCCACCGGAGGAACTCCTCCACCTTCCGAGTCGACCGCGGGGTGAAACTCACTCTCGAAGCTCGTGCAGGACACGAACGTGCAGCAGAACTGCAGCTGGTTCCACGTGGATGGAAGACACGAACGTGGATCCCATGGCCCTCCGAAAGGATTGTTTTTTTGAGGGCCATATAAGGACTGGGCCATGGATCTCTCCCAATTCCTGTAGTTTAGAAGGTGTTCCCGTGTCCTCTTTTATGGCTCAATGCCATAAGTCTAGAGTCCATCCATGAGAATTCTCGTAGAAAAAGAATCTCAAAAACACAAGAATCTGTCTATAGTCTAGTCTTCTTGATGAATCGTTCAAATTGAAGCCATCCTGAATCTGGCCCACCATCACAAAATCTTTCTGAAGAACCTTGAACGTGGAGAAATACTATAAAAGTGAGTGAAAGACCGCCACCAACCCCGGTACTTGACTTAGTCCAGCACCGGAAAAAAAAGGCGCCACTTGGACTTCCTGTCAATCCAAATTCAATCCATTGCATGCTTAAGTGCCTTACTAGTAGGAACAAGTGCATCGCTACTAGTAACAAGTGCCTTACTACTAGGAGCAATGTTTGCTAGTAGAAACAATGAATATTGGATTCTTTCAACTTTAATAAGCTACTAGGAACAAGTGCATCGCTAGTAGTAACAAGTGCCTTACTAGTAGTAACAATGTTTGCTATTAGAAACAAGTGCATCACTTTCTCCCCGGACCTCCGAACCGGGTTCCGCCTGCAACTTGCCGTCGCCGTTCGCGTCGACCCGACCCAGCAAGCGGTCCAGTTCCTGCTCAGTCCACTCTTCCGGATCGAGGGTCCTGACGAGGGGGATCTCTCCGTGCGAGAGGATGGTGGACTTTATTACTTTTTCTCTTGAATCTAAAACCAATCACAATGCTTTGGCTTTCCAAGCACCACCGCTGGGTACAGTACTGGCGGTGAAATTGAATGAAATTCTTGCGCAAGACTGGGAGGCGGATGGTCCTCAAAACGTTGCCCAGCTCGTCACGGGTGATAGAACCATCACCATCCTTGTCAAACTTTTTGAATGCCTCCAAGACTGCGGCATTTTCCATGGCTTCAATACTGTGGCCATCGAGCCCAAAGGAAAGCCACGGCACATCTGCAAGATCTGCAAGATCTGATACGTTTGAAACTCAATGAAGGGAGCATAGGAAGACCATGAAGTCCTTGTTGTGGTAGAGCACTTCCAACAGTACATATTAGTTTGACCAAGGCGAGCTGAAGATTGAGGCAAAGGCCGACCGCTCGAGTACCTGGCTGACCTACCCTTGCACATTCCTATGTGGGTGGGTGACCCAAGGTGACCCATATCTGTCGCGGTCCCCGGCTGACCCATTTGGATTACTCTTCGCACGACCGGTTTCGCAACATGTTCTGCCGCAGGGCCGAACGAATCGTCTCCCGAGTGGACGAGAAAACGCATCTTTGAAGGAAGTGCCTTTGCCATCTGGAGTGCCTTTGCGTTCTTCTAGACTGCTAGCCGCTAACCTATCTCCAAAGATCCATCGAAACCCTCGACGTTGAAGTGAGTCCCTTGCAGCACCACCAATTGGAATTGGTCGTCTTCTAATCCTCTTGCCCTCTTATCAGTCCCTCTTGTCAGCCGTCTCAGTGGCCTCCTGAAGCTTGGGGCTTGTGGGGCCCCGCCCTGGTACCACGAGCACTTCCTCAAGTCACCCGACTGCGACCGCGGCATGACGATGCGAGTTGGTTTCGTAGACAGTTGGCCTCCATCCGGCCTCCAACCTAATAGCGATGGGCCTCCAACATGAGTCTTCTATCACCCAGACATACTGCCGTACCGTATGGGGATCTGCACCGTATGGGGTGGGTGATGGATAGAGGTCCTGAACGACCTCACTTCCAAGTGCAGGTACTGTAGCTGTAATGGGTCAAGGAACAACTTCAATGATCAAAAAGAACATCTGGCACTTTTTGAAGGTCACAAATATCAGCAAATAAAACACAAATGTAATTCTACAGGCTTCTGACGTGGGATCAATATGTATCAATCTGGCTATTCCAATCGTTGTGTATATCTTTCGAAACTTTCTACTCCTCGTCGTCCGCGCTCTCGGTCGGGTGACGCGAGAACACTCACTCTCCTTCAGCCCAGCTTCGGCACCCAGCTTAGCGAGGCCGTTGGCGACGTTGAGGCTAAAGGAGTCCAAGTTGTCTACAAAGAGAACACCTCACATGGCGCCAGGTGAAGGCCACTTGTGGCCCTGGCTGAAGACTGAGGGACGTTGAGCCAAGAACACACCTCATGACACCAAGGATCTGGTCTCCTTTTGTGATATGTTAACTATATAATATTATGACTAATATTACAGTATATATATATACACCTTCAATACCTTCTTTCAAATTATGATACATTAGCTGTCGAATGACTGGAGTGGAGGCAATTTGTTGTTGGAAGTCGGGATGATTTCGAACGACGATCTTGAAGATCCGACTTCCAAGTTCAGGAGCAAATGCTGAAGACTCCTCAATCCCAAGGGTCAAGAAAAAGACCTTTCATGACCTTTCCAACCAGTGCTCGACCTCATCCATACACTACAGAACGATCCGCAAGTGTTTCCGGAGGATTTACTCGTAGAATCTGACCGATCGGCTGCGGTGCAGGCGTCTGTGAGGTCTGTTTGACCGGCAAGGATACCGCACCCAAACATGGAGCGGCCAGATATGTGATACAGATATGTTTTTATATTATATTGTATAGATTTGTATAGTACACATATAATCAACTTCCTGATATCCTATATTGAGAGTCCATTCTGTCTCTGCATTGCTAAGAGATGCTTGCTGCAAAGGCACACACACACATACAATCACATACACATTCCGTTTGGCTTCAACCGATATCGGTTATATCTTGCCTACGTAACATCGCCGAGCTCGCTCCGAAACAGTATCTTCGTCCTTTACACACTGAAAGCCCATCATTGCAGCAAATTGGTCGCATACTGACTCACTGATTTGAATCTCTGTCCCCGCTAGCTCTCGGTCGCCCGAGGCCCTGTCGCCGAGCCGATTGAGGAAGCACTCCATGCTGTGGCCCCCAGGAGCTCCAGGTGCCACATGACCTCGCCTTGGCCTCGCCTGGCGGTGTCCAAACAGTGCAAACCGGCCCTCTGACCCTCAAAAATGATACCCGATACCCTTTTGATATCTTTTGGTAGTCATCTATCTTGACCTGTAGACCTCGACCTGAAGTTAAGTTTCCCTAAAAATCTCGGAGCGCCGGAGGCCCCCAGCCTCAGGCGGGGGGAGCTTCCTTGAAGTAGGAGCTTCCTATTGCTAGCATAGCGTGTGTTGGCGCATACTTAATATTACTTAATGAAGTTAGTAGGGAGGCAGGGCTGAGCAGGCATAAGAAGCATCTAATTCGATGTTTCGCTCCCACCTTGCTCACGGAAGGCCTTCAGTAAAGCATCCACGCGTGCCGACACTTCGGAAGGAGCTCCCGACAGGCCTCGGTCACAAAACATGGGGAAACCGATTGGCGGATTTATTGTTATTTTGTTCACATCATTTCGTTGTACATCAGATTGCAAACGACTACTATATGCCCGCAAAGGACTGTAAGTGCGAGCACATGATCCTACGCACTCGCACCCCACGTGCGTGCGCGCAGCGAGCAACGATGCTACTGACAAATGGCACGATGCAAAATACATTCATTTATCCGCGAGTGTTGTTTCTCTTCCTGCCATCGAATGGGTGGCACGGGAAACATCTTTGCCTTCAAACAAGACCTGCAAGATTTCTCCCCAAACAATGACCCCAAGAGCAGAATCAAGATGAGATAAACAGAGTCATTAAACTCTGAAGACGTATCAGTCCCAGGTGGTATGAAGTCCCCGTGGAAGAGTTCGTTGTTCTGTGGATCACAACAAACCAAAGACTCAAAGACCAAGTCATACATTGTGTCCTGGCCACATGGTGACAAGGCCGCGACTGACTTCTTGGACTTCCACATGAGAAGAGCTGCTTTCCTTCACCTGCAGAAAAGGGAATGACTTGATCCATCTCTTTTTGTGAAAACAGAACACCAAATAGATGGATCAAGAAATATTAAGAAGAAAGTTCAAGTTCAGGTTCAAGTTCTGTTTCTAGTTTCTTCATGTTTCTTCTATTTTTATCAAGAAGAAAGTTGTTTGGGTGCAATCTTCAACTGAAAGAAACTGTGAATCAAGTGCACCCTTTTTGGCTTTTGGCAGCGCTTCTTGCTGAGATAAGCAAACATCTACCGTCTACCCCTTCTTTCCAAATTGTGTGTTGCATAGCTTTCTGCAGGTGGAGGGTGGTATTTTAGGCCGATATGATATGACTCGACTCGACCAATGAAGTTTACACGGCCTTTAGTACAGGTCGAACAGCGAAACCCTCGAACATTTCCGTGGCGAGCATGAGTGTTTCCCTGGCCTCCACGAACCAGCTAATTCCACTGACACATCTTTAGCCTTCTACCGTAGAAGAAGAAATGACATGCCACAAACACGACTGGAAGACATGAATGTTTCTGGAACTCCCGAGTCGGACATACTGTGAGAATGTGAGCTAACCGCAACATCGTGAAGGCGAGCTAACCCCCCACCGTGAAAGGATATCTTTCGTAGATGGACCATGAACCTTCCGACTTCCGAAGGTCAGTCGCCACGTGCGCGTGGCGTGACCCAGCGCCTGGCGCCTGGACGTCGCTCCTGGGGACGGATGGACAGCCGTCCCTTTGCGGTTCAATACTTGCTACGTAGAACCCTTGATTGAAGGCTGGTTGCAGCTCCTTGCAGAAGCTCTGTGAATGTCGTTAATCTTGGAGATACGGGTGAGGGAGGTGGGCTTGGGCGCCGAACCAAAGTAGTCCGTGCACAGGGTGGTCAATCATTGATAGGACCAGTCGTTTAGTGCTACGTGTTGCGATCCTCCCCAGAGCTTTCCGTTCAATCAACATCTCAGAACAGTGCCGCAAATCCACAGACATCCAGCACTAACTCTTAAATCGATAGAACTCCCAAACATCTATCAAACCCAGAACCCACCCAGGACTTTGAAGTATCTGAGGTTATCATGTTTATCAAACTCCTGAAAAAGAAGCCCAAAACTAGTTCCAAACATATACAGTAAGTAGATTCCCAAATCCTCGCAAGAAAAGACCACCAAATCCTCTTACCATCTCTTACCCCTCGCACCAGACCTGCCAAAACCATCCGATGCCACCAGACCATCTGCCTCCGAAGGCAACCTCTAAGATGCGCTCAGCCTGGGAGACGGAGGTAGCGGTCCAGTGGTAGCGGTCCTTTTTACGAATGGGTTTACGAGGTCCAGTTCAGGGTTCAGGTCATTTTCTGGTGCAAACACATACTTTATACGTTATATATAGAGTTTTTTGATGTTATAAGCAACATGGTAATGTGGTATATAAATGACTATATATATATATATGATCGATTATATATGCAATTAACTGCAATACACTCAATATAATTAGGATTGTTTGGGGTGTACACTGTCTTTTCCAAGGCCTCTACTGTATCTTTCTCCTTCGACACATGGCCGGCGGTTGGCCTGACCACCCTTTGTTTGACCGTCCTCTTCTAAGACTGACATGATGTGATCCCCACTGTCTCCTCCATTTCTATTCTTTTTGGGTCGTGGTGAAAATCCTCTTGGCTTCTCTTCCGAAGCCACTCTTCCTATGCATGCACCTGGGGCTTCCTTCAACGTGACGATCATTCCAAAGCGAGAGTGGTTCAGTAGTTTGAATTCTGCTGGGGTCATGGTGTTCTACTGTATCCATGTGTCTGCTAGACATGGCGACTGGCCAACACTCTGAGGGATGCTGGATCGGACAAGTCGAGGACTGAGGACACCTCTGGGCCTTGGAGGGAGGTTCCATCACCTCCAGGCCAACCATCCACCGCCATCCATCACTACCCATCGTCCATCACCACCCGCCTATCCTCTGCTGGGTCCTCCCCCGCCTTGAGCTTCGCTTCTTGCACCTCGCTGACGGGATCCGAGCCTGCCGAGCCAATGGGTGGAACATGAAGCATCATGG